TACATATATATATATATATATATGTATATATATATGTATATGGGCTGCCCAGGGAGGTGGTGGATTCACCGTCCCTGGAGGTTTTTAAGATGAGACTGGATGTGGCACTTAGTGCCATGTGAGTCAAGTAACCACAGCGGTGTTGGATCAAGGGTTGGACTTGATGAGCTTGGAGGTCTTTTCCAACCCGGTTGATTCTATGATTCCCGGAGTGTTTATCTGGTATTGAGCCCTCCTAAGACTTGCTAAATACCTGTGTGCAGGCCGGCTGGTTATGTGCAGGTAAATAAATACCCTGAGTGATTGTGCAACTGACAGTCATTAATCTCTGCCATCTTGGTATCACTTGCTAATTATCCCCAACTCATAATTTTGTGGATAAATCTTGGTGATCAGTCACAGACTCACAGTACCACAGATTTGCTATGGGGGCTCCTTTAGTGGGTAACACAGATTCTTTTCCTTATAGCCATGATAACAGTTTCATTACTAAATAAAACATGGTGTGGGAAGGCAGCTGCCGTGCTCTTAGCATAAACCTGCATCTTTTGGCTGCTGAAAGAGTTGGAGCTGAATGAGGTGGAATCCCCATGCTGTTATGATTAATTAAACAAACACTAAGAAAGCTTCTAAGTTGTACAAAGGAGAAAAATATCAAAATATCAATTGAATCCCATCTCTACCAGATAGATCTTTTTTCCATTAACTGATGAGGCTCATGTTGGTCCTTCTTGGCAAAACCAGTGACATTTTACAGTGTTTTCTACAGGTGGCCTTTGTGCAACCTGAGACAGAAACCTGAATTTCTGTTGCTGTTGTTTGTATTAAGTTAGCTGTGGTAAACTTAAGGTTGGCTATTTTATTAATTTAATTCAAATAAACAAATATACAAAACTAGTCATGGAACTTAGAGGGACTTTAATTTTCCTGTGATACTTCCTAGCACTTGCATAACTCCCGCGATATGTACGTGGGCCAGAGTTATGGTTTTGGAGCTCTTTCATGTATTTACCCTTTCAGGAAGATACTACTGAATAAAGTCAATAAGCAGTATAAGGATTTGTTGAATTTTTATTTTAGAAGTTCAATTAAAATTCATGTCCAGCGCTCCTCTTTTAAATATTGTCTTGATGTTTTGCAACTGAAAGCTGAAGTTGGTTTGAGTGAGTTGGTTCAAATCAAGGAGTCTGTGATATTTTAAAAAATTGGGTTCTATGAAATGACAAGAAATTGGTAGGTTCATAGATTATTAAAATACTTATTTTAAAAATGCATTATATTACTTGAATAGCACTCCATTTTTAGAATAGGAGTATTCAATTAGCTGGCTGTTAATCTAACTCAAATTCCATAAATATATCACATTCCAGCTTTATGTGTTCAAGTCTCTAAATGTGCAGAATGGAATAATATCCACTTGGAAGGATTGTAAATAGAATTCTCAGTTAAATGCTCTAGTTTTATTTTGTTTCAGTGTAACTTATCAACAACAACTGAATTCTTTAAAAAAAGTAATGTAGACAGCTTCTCTTGAATATTACATGCTATTACAGTCTCCTGTACAAAATAGCTGCTGGCAACAAACCACTTGAAAGTTCATGCTCTTGGTGGTGGGAACAACTGTGTTAGACTTGGTTAAGTCATGAAATGATGTTGGCACATCAGAGCTTTATGAACTTTTTAAAATTAGATTGCTCTTTGTCACTTATGGTTCAGATTTAGAATGATTGGAGAGTCCTTGTTTGTCATGTTCATTTGTTGTGTTACTGTCTCAGTTGTTTTGCTGCAGGCAAATAGTATAGGAGAGATTAGGTTTTCTGAAACTTGTGAGCCAGCAGGAACAGGTTGGATGTTTTACAGAAACCTGAAATACTTTTGTTGCTTATTTTCACTGGATGAATCCTCAAAAGTAAGCAAATATTTCTACTGGTTATTGTGC